GCTTCTCAGAAATGTAACCGGTTTGATTGAACTTAGACAATTAGAGCGGTCTACAATTACGCATGTCAGTCAGTAGTATATTTCAATACTGGGTCAATTTTTGGAAATTGGTAACATGTGGAACTACTGGAATTTCTCTGAAGTTGTAAATGGTAAGATAAAGTAGTTACTTGGGCTTCATTTTAGCCAACTAAAGCACATTTCGGTTGGTAAACACCTATCATTCATCCAAAAGTGTCTTGTCACCTTCGCTCACCAAGAGGCTCTGCGCCAATACCTGTTGAGTGTATCCTACGACTGAAGACTTTACATCTAAACACTCATAAGAGCTGTAAAATATATGATAAAGTATCAGGTGAGTTGTCTATGTAGAGTGGTGTACGTCACGAATATATCCACTATAATCATATTTGTTTAACTTTGTCAATAGATATTTTATGGTGGGCTATCTCTCCTCGAATAATTGTACAGGGAATGATCTTGTTATAAGAGGCTCCTTAGAGGGCTTGATCTACCAGACAAACATAGAATAAACGTAGAACCTCACATTTAAGTGCATCGGTTCAAGTTAACATACTTCACAGTAGTATACAAAGAACAGGTAGGTAGAATAAGAGTGGTGTCAAACTAGACAAAGTTATTTGAGATAATAAACAAGGTTAGTGCGAATGTTCAAGCTTTGGAAGACTTCAATGAGTGAATACATCTGCACCATTCAGAGTGACTTTCAGCCATGTGGCTAAGAGCTAGTCCTCAACCACTGATTCTTATCACCTCGGGGACTCCAGCCAAGCATCCACATCTCCCCACACGGATCACACCAACAGTCAGAGACTTCACCGACTGATGCCACGTATCGGTCTCGCTACTAAGTGCGCACTTCCAACTTAATCCAGCTTCCCCTGTTATGATACATCAAGTTAGGCGATGACTTGGCATGCTCAGCACATGTCCAAACCACCTCAGTCGATGAAGGTTTACAAATTCACCAATCAACTTGCCTGTCCTGCCTAGTACCCTTCGCCTGACTGACCTCAACACCGCTCACGCGGTGATTCCACCAAACGCGAACAATGCTGAGAAGTCATCTGTGATCAAAACCCCGTAATTTTCCAATGTCTATTGATTTAACGACTATTTCTCACACCCGAATAATAGAACAGAACAGACTGCAGCACAGTATGCTCATCCTTTGATAGACAGTTGGATATCTCGGCAGTCTGCATCACAGATCATGCAAGTTGGCAAATGCCAAACGGGCTCATGTGTGTCCGAGCTGAGATTTCGTCAGTAACCTGGCTGATGTAACTATCCAAGCGAAATGGTCGACACATTTCACCACTTCACTCTCTATCATTAAACTGGGAGTAGTTACAGACTGATCTGGACGAATACTTTATCTGGTAACAGGAAATGAAGTAGTCGAATGTTTTGAGCACCTTATTTATTTTGGCAGTTGGGTTAACACCCCCTGGATTTATTGATGTATAAGATTTCTGCGAAGATATAAAAGGTTTGATTCCATTTTTACGGATTATTCCATCCATAACAACCGAGTGACATATGACTGTCTACTAAGAGTGGAGCCTACTGCTTAGTATGTTGTTGATCTTCATCAACTTGGGCGGTTAGGTAATACCTATTCACAGTCTACCCCAATACAAAATGTTGGCTGGTGTACGTTTGGTCTGGAAAAAGGTTTAGGCTGACCAGACTGAAACGTGAAATTAATCTAGACATTTTCTGGGTTTTAATCTGAACCATATGGTGAGATTGTCTAAGTCACCATGTTAAGGTCAATCTCGCAGCTAAACCCAATTATTGAACACTCTAGATGACATATGGCTAAGTATCTCTCAAAGGCGTGCAAATGCCAAAACAACGCAGATCATTACTTACATTCACTTCACTTCCTTTTGGTTTAAGGCTTTCTGCGATTTTTGACTGTCACTTTTCCATTCCATTGCCTTTCATCTTGCTGACCTCTATCTTGAGGTATGGTATCTTGGATCATGATGCTATAAAACCACCAACAATACTGATGTCAATTAACCGACTGACTGACTGACTAACTCCATCAAGTTATGTTGACAAATATTATATTGGCTATACACTATATCTCCTAAACTTTTTATTTGAACACAATAGTGTATTATGTCGTGTGACCACAAGAGAATGGTTAGTTCAAGTTTTCTGGGTAATCTAGTAACCTAACACATGTTTAAGCATGCTGACTTCAGGGTATCCTTAAAATCTCTCATATTCAGTTGACAAACATAGATTATTGAAGTCTTTTGATTGGTGGTGGTCATTGGTGGAATCCAGGAAACTCTGATATCAGAAGTGATGGATGGAGGGTTTGAGTGTCAGTGAGAACACCATTACGCACAGAGATACACGTACGTACAACTGATGAGTCCAAAATGAGACAAATCGCCAATCCTATATACCACCACTAGCCACCTTCAAACAAATAACATCACAATGAAACTTGATGCTATACTGAAGTATCCATTCACGGGACTCATATATTAAAACTAACCGATCAACGGGAGGTTGTAATCATCATTAAATAACCTATTTTAATGAAATCGAATTTCCCATAGTTACCAGTGTAAGAAACGACAAAGACAGAGACGCAAAACAGAATGTTGATTATGACATTTTGTACAGTACTGATGAAATATTGTACACTTTCCATTAAAATTGTCATTTGCACAATGTGCTTCATTGCCTGTTCTGCTTCTATCTTGATTTACTCTTAATACGGTCACTTTGTCTCTTGCGTTTCTCTGAGCAGAATGTTTACTCATCACTAATAACTGTCTATAAGTTTTGCCTACCTCTCAACACATATTACTTTTATTCATTCTTATCAGTAGTACCCACTAAACCAGTATAAACTTAATTGATATAGAAGTAAATAACATTAAGAGTGTGTTCTGTGGAATTAGGTAACAAAATTGTGTTTGATAAAAGGTTATGCTGACATGATAAAGTGCGTGTGTGTAAGTTTTGGCTCTCATATCAGTACAAGCCTCTTAAAAAGTAATTTCCATTTTTACTATGAATGACCTGTACTTGACAGGCAATCATAAATCTGTATTCTTTTACTAGCGTACACGACACCTTAGCTTTATCATCATCACAGTGTTCACGTCAGTATAAATCCCTGAATTCTGACTCGATGATTCAGTTTTAACCTGCCGACCACGGGACCTGTACGTCCTCGGTTCGATCTCTGGAGAAGTCAAGGGTGCGTACTGTTGACGACCCCCCACCCCAACTAGGACGAAACAGCTTTCTAGTGTCCCTAGATTCCCAATGTTTCTCAAATTAATGTCACGTCATGATGAATACCAGTTTGAAATCGATTTTCCTTCCCTTTCAAATGTAGAAATTGTGCATTAGGAACAAATGAGTGTAAAAACGCTGTGAAATATATAGAAGCAGTCGCTGAGAAGACACATTCTTTGAATGTTTATTGTCAGTCGTCAATTAGGAAGCTGGTTTATCCCATCGGACACTTGGATTGGTATCATTCAGTATCTAACTTGGCTGACCGAAAGGGTACCCCAGTAACTGATGAGACAGCCAAGTACATTCCTTTAATTTATGGTAAAGTTTTTTCCCAGGCGAAGTACCGAAACCTGATTGATCATTTCAGCAGTTGCTAGAGTGACCTTCCAAGTCACTCTCTTATGAGTGACTTTAAAGGCTGCGCCAGCAACAACTGAAATAACCAATCAGACTACTGCATTTTATGAAAATCAGCCTTTCCAGCCGAAATGAGGAAACGTGATTGATTATTTTGACCTTTAGCGTCTCCTACAACCCCATCATGTTCACCAATATACATGTGTGTGGACGCATTTATAGGAGGAAAGATTAGCTAAGCTATTAGGCTGAGGTTGATAGAACATGTACTCAAATAGCTTAAAAAACTGTTTGAGTATGAAACTTTGTTATACTCAGGTGTGAGATAGCTCACTTCATCTGCAGTGAGGCATATCATGAAAATGAGTTCATACAGCTTTCAAAGTTTGACATAGAAACAGTCAGGTGTGCATACAGATACTTTCAGAAATGATAGCCATTCGCAAATTGAGACCATATACCTTGACTTAATAGGTAAATTTGTGATTAGATTGTATGAAAGGTCTTACGCAAACATTACATTGTCCAAATAAACTTCATTTTATAATCACAATAACCAAAATTATAAAAGGGACTAATTGTGTCTTATGTCATATCGCCTAATCATGAATAAATTCCGAGTTAAACAAATCGACTTTGTAACAGGAGTGGAAAACTTATACTAATTGATTTTAGGTGGTTATTAGTAATCGATAAGTAGATGAGTTTCGCACTTTCCAGTGCTCATCAATAATATATGCCTACAACTTCTAGAGTATCGATAACCTATTTCTTAGAGATTATAATCCACACTATCCAACATCGAAACCGACGATCTTACTATGCTGCCGTTTTGAAGGAATTTTTGTCAGTAAAAAAACAAACACAATGAACCTGTGTCAAGCGTAACATTTTTATTAACGGTTCCAAACCGTTCCTTGTATAATTTTAGGGATTCTGTATTGGCTTACACCTAGCTCTTGTTCATATCTTCGTGAGGAGTGTATGCAGTCATCGAACCCCAAGGAATGATCATATTCTCATATATTGGAAATCTGTCATCTCAGTGAGCGGCAGATAAAGCGAGAATATATACTGTGGTCAAAGTAACACAGTGGTTGAATGGTTAAGTGACCGCCACAAAATCTAACGGTCATGGGCTTGATCCCTGACAGAGTTGTGGTTGTGCACTTCTGAAGAGTCTCATACTGGGGCGAAACAACTGTTCAGTACTTTCAGATCTTTAATAGTTCTCCAAGTGATATCATTTCTTGATGTATACCACCTTGAAATTAATTATAAAATCAATATGAACACAATTATTATCGTGGGAATATGACTCGATAATTGAAAGAAATTCTTACCTAAATGTTGTATATGTTCAGTGTATCTTCTCACTTCGGTACATTTGAACAAAAATAGGTTATAGAATATCACAATGCATAATAAATAATTATTGAACATATGAAAAGTGGAACAGGTTTTTACTGTAAATAAATCCACAATTCTTATTGTTAAATATATCTCTAATTATTTAGACTCCAGCACATTGATGATAAGATCATAATTGTCACGGTGATAGAATGAAAATGAAAAGTGATTTCACTTATGATCAGAGGAAGGTTACATCCACTTGTAAGCAACTTACCTTGACGTTGGCTTCTGATTGGCTGATTGTTCATTTATGAACTATCTGAAATTCCATTGGTTATAAATACTGGATAAAGCTGTAGGCGTTTGTGTAGTCATATTCAATGACGTTGGATTTACGGGACGGAGAAACAAATACCAAATCATAAAAGATATGTAGATCAGTTGACACTAAACAGAAATCCAGGTAGTGATATGATCTGAAGCAACAGCCTCCTGATTCCTGATAAGGAACTCTACGGACCGGATTGCGAATGCCGTTACTGACAGGCTCTCATATTTAATTTAGTCAGCCAGAGTTCCATCCTATATGACTGGCTGACCCCGCATGTCACAGCTTCTCATTAGAACTTCTGGAAATCCATCTCGAAATATTTAGAAGTGAAGAGGATGCCAATTAAAGACCTTGATGGATAGTTGCACTATATAGAAAATTGACAGAAGTAGGAACCTTTGCAACGTTGAACTCCGACGCAGTGGTTGAATGGTTTACACATTCGTTACAAGACCTGATTGGCCTGAATTCGTTGCACAGCACTGTTGTGGTTACGTGCTTCTCAGGAATCCCATACTAGGACAAAACACCAGTGTTCCCAGGTTTCCAACAGTTCTCCAGTTGATGTCAGTCCATGATGAATAGTACTTTTAACTCCCTTTAAACCTCGAAATATGTTTTCCATCAATGTCAAAGGAAATTCAACTGCTTAGCAACCGATGTCTGCGTAAATGTTTCAGTTGAGCATAAGTATACCAAAAAGCTTTCAGGTTGTTTTGTTCTTACGTCAGTGATTTCTTTCATGCTCTTCAGTTATGAAGTAAAGAAAAGTTGATTCAGTCTGCTGGCATCTTTACCGCCAGTAATAGTGTTTTTTTCCAATGTGAAGTAAATCACAACAATAACCAATCAATAACGGATGACCTTAACATCACTAACTTTTGTTCCTATTGGTTTAAAATTCTAACCAACCAGACTATGCCTTTCGAGCCGTATATATTCGTCATATGATCTGTCGAAATACATTATTAATACTTATGTCCTAGTGGAGGATATTTGTCTTCTGTTTGAATCAGATGGAGTGAAACAGTTAACATTAAACTGTAATATCGATCAGAGAAGCAACACTAACAATCTGGAAGTTCTGCGTAGCTGTTTCGCCCCTTTTGGGACTCCTCATCAGTTTGCACTCATAAGCCAAAGAAAGATCAACTTCAAAACTGTCAGGAACTTAAACGATCACTTGACAAATCGTCTAACTAGCGCCAGAAAGTTTTTAATGCATTTCCAACTCATGTCAACCGGTGACAAAACGAACTTTAAATCAATTAAATCAAGGAACCCACCCACCATACATTTAATAGCTTCTTTCGAGATAGGTTTCCTGAAGTTGTAATTATTAGCCATGACATGATGGGATCAAGCATTTTGTTTTTGATGAGTTGACTGATTACTTCACAGCAAGTAATCTCATGTTGTCTAGTCCTGAGTGCTGACCGAATTGTATCCACCATTTTGCAATATGGCCACCTGGTTAGGAAGCTCATCATCTCATTCCACTTTGGTGGGTGTTAGTTAGATGGAAACAATCAACGGGACACCCCTGAACCGAGGTTTGTGCTGTCTGTTGGCACTCGTCGGCAAGGTGAATTTGAACCTCGAGGGAACTGATATCCACCATGAGACTAGGACCTGCGTCACCAAGCAATGTTAGTTAAGTACATTTCTACTGAGCTGTTCGGGTGGCGAATGACTTCCGGTATGAGCGTATGTTAGAAAGAGAGGATAAATGCTCATAACTGACAATGAGTGATGGTTTTGCTACATTGCAAATTGACAGCAATTAGAAAATTCTGATTCCAGTCCATAGACTTACTGTCACCGTCGAATGTGATCGTCCTTGGCTGGTTCTATCTCAAATTATATCATGGATCCGTACTACTAAGGAGTGTATTATTAGGATGAAATAAATCTCCAATGCTGTTAGGTTTCCAATGGTTCTATGGCTAGATTCAATCCATGATGAAACTCCTCTATGAAACAGTCAGTCAGCCATAGGTCTGAAACTTGTCTGTAATATAATTTAACGCAATATCAACTTTTCTTCTAAGGTGCATGAAAACAGTGTGTGTCGACAATATGTAAAGTCTCCCCATAATATATAACCACCATAGCATAGTTTGATAGTCCAAAATACTAACGAAATATGCTAATGAACAAGTAGAATGGTCGGGAAATCATTCAGACTGATCTGTAAATTACACCAGCCAGATTAAAGTGGATGGCAACTTCACTTGTTTTTAGCCGAACTTATTATCAGCATAACTGGGAAACTTCAGTTCACAGAGGCAAACTGGTGTCATGTACAAATCAGGATGAGTAGTTTCCAACTACTATTCAAGTTGTTCAGTAGTATACTAAAACAAGTTTATGTTTTATGTTACACACACGATGTTGATTCATTTTGCAATATGTTACTTCACATGTCTCCCGTTCAGATGATAGATAAGAAGGGGAACCATGATAAAAGATAAAACATCTTTGTTAGCCACGTTATTTACATATGATCCCTTCTATGAATGAATAAAGTATGAGAACAGACGCTTGATACCAGTTGAGATTCACAGTTAAAATAGCTGAAAAGCTAATGTCTTTTATTCGTATTCTGTTCAACAGGTGTAAGGATTTCAGAAAAAGTATTTGTCTGCTAAATCTTATTGTTTTGATTGGCTGAAAGGTTTTAATGACTATGGAATGGTGAAGAAGAGGATCTAGCCGACACAAAGTATAATTTGTTGATTTTCAGTTATTTATACTGGTGAAGCTGTGATGAATATGTCTGACCAGATTCATTCGATACTGGTATATCGAGAAAAGTAGCACAAAATAATCTTCGTCAATCAACTGCCCTATTCAATAGTGGATACAGTTTAATGTTAACTATGCTTGCTGGCTTTCGTGTTATCTTAGTTGAGCCTGGTGTTGTCTAAACTTGAGACCATCGGCTTTATTAACTCTTATTAAGAAGGCTTCACGGATAGGAATACTGGCAATATTCAAGAATTTCTGGTGGAGAAAGCAAATTTGGTTAGAATAGCATTTAAAGTGAACCAGAATATATTCAACGACAATAATTCAGACAGAAATGTTAAAACTAGACAGTAAATATTGAAACGCATTAGTGATAAGGTTAAGAACAAGCTAAATTTCTAAATTTCTGGTTCTTTCAGCAAGATTATTCAATGGAAGGGAGTGAAATTTATGTTTGCCTAGTTCCTTAAAATGGAGCCTATTAGATCGTTTCAGCCATTCATTATCATTACCGTTTATCGGATTGGTTTGGCCTGACCAATTGGTTATTTTAAGTTGGTATTCCTCACGAACTAATATCGTTTGGAGAAGCACTGGAAATTACGCAGCACTGGACAGATGTCTTCTCCAAATATAAAGATTCTCAACAGAGTGCACCTATAACACCGCGAAGGATCGTAGCCAGAACTTCCGATTCCGCCCCTTGGAGACGAAACTTAATGAAGTCTTATTGAGAAGTAGTGTCCGATAGGACGAACCTAGCCGGATATAAAAACAAATGCTCAACAATGGTACTAGATGAATGTCACGCCAGATCGTAACATGCTGGCCGACAAACCTGGGTTCCTTCCGTGGCAGGGTGGGACCGTGAGTGCGCACTGCTGAAGGGTCTCATACTGGGACGAAAAGCTGTGCGGTGTTCCAAGGTTTCCAGTGTTTCTACAACTGATGTCAGCCTGCGATGAATACCAAAGTGGAATCAATAAATCCCCATCATCCTCCAAATTAAATTCATCATTTGACTTTGTAGAAATTTTGTTGCCATACTTAAGCTGAATGCCAATCATGGGTCATTCACTGGTCATTTGTTACTCTGTCAGTTGAATATCTTCAATCTTCTAACCCTTACCTTGATATTACTGGCGCAGAGGTAGTCAACTCTGTGTCAGTCCAATGTAAATTCTTTGGTTCTTATTGCACTAAGATGTGTGTTGTGTGACGCTCCCCGATCTCAACAAAGATCAAACTAGGAGTGATTCATAGTAGGTTAAATTTCCATCTTACGAGAACTTGGATCATTTCTGTTTTGCGAATACCGGTAAGACATTCCTCGAAGAGTCCAGAACAGTCGATCGATTGTACTGGGCATACACCTTATAGGAATGTCAACTAACAGTCACTTATGAATAAAGGTATTGTATAATTGCTGCTCCTCCCACGCTTGCTGAAAGCCAACTTAGTGAGTAGACATTCAAAGACATCTTCCTATCATGCCTTCATGAAGGAGAATACTGCTGCATATGTAACGGGTGTGTTAAATCCACGCGGACATCACCTAATATCGTACCTTTTACGTTTTCACATATATGCTACTTAATTATGATGAGTAGTATCACAATGTACGTTTTATATTTCTCCACTTAGCATGTACTCGTGTGTATTAGCATATCCTATTCTTTCCCGAACACGTTTTATCCTGTTTTGTTAACTTTAAACGTACCACATAAATGACAAAAAGTTTTATTGTTAACTTAAGCTAAACGCTGACACATTCTTCCACTAATTTATGTGGAACGCTGATCAACTTTGGAAGTTTGTTTTTCTTACTACTGTGATCATCAGAGGACCATATGATTTCGAGTATCTCATCTTACTAGTCACTACCATTCTCTGCTAATGCATTAATATACTTCAGGTTAACCCTGTGTTTAATATTAGGGAGGAACAGTAGCTGACAGTTGGATCTTCCTATTAGGGGCATATCTGATAGACATGCCTGCTCTTCAGTGAGTGGTGCTGTCATCACTAAAACTTGGAGCTAGGACAGCTCACTTCAAATGCAAGAACGCTGCCCAGTGGGTCATTAGTTTATGGCAGCCGCTGGTTGTGTGACAAGTATAGTACAGTTTAGATATTGGAGATTGAAGATTCCCGTCGTTGGTTGAACCTAGTTGATTGGCGACTGTCGGTAAATGCCATTAGTATGTACGGATCTGTACAGGAACCCGTATACCAACGATGGTGAGTCAGTTCAGCCCAACTAACAACAGGAATTTACAAGTTGTAATATCTAAACCCTGTTGTATAGTATCAGCAGTTATACGCGTAGCTTGAGGGTTTGGTTTAGGATCAGATAAGCTTTATTACAAGGTTTGATCTTAGAATTCAAAGGTGAGTTCCACAGGTCATGAGCAACAACTATACATTTGTGGGTGGAATGATTTTGAATATAAACAGGTGACAATTAAGGTAAAAGGCTGAATATCCCATTAAATTTCCTAATTGTATGTTTTTTAACCTCGCCTGGTTAACTAGTTTACTAGTTACTAGCCGGTCCTAAGCCCGGGTAAAGAGGGAAGGTTGGGCATAGGGCTAGCAACCCTACCCCGTAAAACAAATCTAACCGCTAAACAAACTTCAAAGCACAAACAAAATATAAAAAATGAAAACAAACTTATTCCCCGCTGGAATCGGAGAGGCGAAATGACGCCAGTTGGTGAAAGCCTTCGGGAAGCCAATTGGCCGATGTGTCTTCTTCTCTCGATGAAAGCGAAAGTAAACGTGGGGACATGGAATGTCCGCACGATGTTTGAACCCAGTAAGGCAGCCCAGATTGCAAAGGAGATGAGAAGGTATAACATCGAAGTGCTTGGGATTTGCGAAAGCAGATGGAATGGGAGTGGACTCTCCAAACTGTCAACTGGAGAATCAATAATCTACTCCGGTCACCCAGACGACAACCACGAGCACACTGATGGGGTGGCTATCATGATGTCCTCAAGAGCATCGAAGGCTCTCATGCAGTGGGAACCAATCTCCTCCAGGATCATGACAGCAAGATTCAACTCAAAA